CCCGCTTTAAGTTAACGCATCTCATATTTTAATTTTTGTTCTTCTCTTCTCGGCATTATTGCCTTTACCCATTAGCTGTAATCGGGTATTACTTCTGAGTTCACTGAACATAGTTTGTGTTGTTTAAAGAGCGGTGGTCGTCGCGCTGCACATTGTGTTGATAAACATTGATTTTCCCACAATTAAATGCGTTCTTCTAACTAGAATCACAAGTATGAGGCTTGACCTGGGTGCGACTTGCACCAATTACAGCCGGTGACTCCTTCGATACCTTCCAATCAGCTAAAAAAAAATACCTAATTAAAGCTTGGTAACGTCACAGTTTGTACTGCGCATTAAAGGTACTAACGTTAGTACCTTCCATGATCTGCGCAACAGCTAAAGTCGCCATCTTTGTTTATATGAGATCCATATATCTCGAGCATGCGTGCGGTGACAAACACCGCCCTTTAATTAGTTTAGCAAGACCACTGCATCCCGGAACACGCCACTTTTTATATATAAGTAACTATAATATCATAGGCTGACATGTAATAACGTAGGTCAAACGAAAATGGAATCACAAATGTATTTAAATGTGGAATATTATCAACAACGATAAAATGAGCTAGTTTCACGACATATACATTTAGGACAAATTACTTTAATATGTCAGTTGAGCATATTAAGTGTATGCACAGTTCTCTTCGGGGCATTAAATTGGACGAGTTGCTGATTAATTAATTAACACTTATACATATTTACATACATTATTTTTAAAATGATAGTATGATTCTGTAAATTGGGTGTAATGGACAGTCATTTTGTGGCAATGCTGTTTTCTGTAGTTGGTGAACCATGGCAAACTGATCTACGATTTATGAATAATATTATCATAAATATATATTTATTAGTTACGTTCTTCCTGCATGTGAACCACGAAGACTTATGTTCAGTTTTCTTGGCAGTAGATGTCCAGCTTCTTACCATGCGACTTCGATGAGTTACTGACCCTAGGCACAGTCCCTCTATAGAGGGAGGGACTGTGCCCTAGGTAATTCTTTTTTACATTCAAAACACACTTTTTTTCTTTGGTCAATATTTTAAAATTGCTTCTGCTGATGATAGATGGTTTACATTACTGTCATTTTTTGTATTGTACATGAGTCGTCATAGGCGGCAAGTTTCACACTTACAAAAAAAAAAGTCACGCCAGTCTCTGAAATTCTGTCGTTGAACATCTCGTGGGCATAACTGCTTTGCTGTTACACTTAAACCATCGCAACTTTTCAACCAATCGGATCTCGGTAGTAATATAAGTGCGTTAATTTGCTTTTCTCTGAAAATCGATTTTAAATTAATGTGGAAATAAGTAATATTATTTCATCTGACACGCAACACCAACATTAATTAAAACGTGTATGTATTTGCGTTGATAATGCGTGTTCGTTTTTTTGTTTTAATAATTGCTTACTTTGGTGTTTTATATATTGTATGATGAATAATCTGATTGTGTAAATATACACATGTACGACTGTCTGTAGTTTATTTCCTGTCAATACATAGTTGGCGCAAGTTGCTACATCAATCAATACAATAAATAGGCTTCAATAGTAGTAATATCACGGGAAGGCAAGGCAAATGCTCCCATAGGTGCTCCACAAATGTAGGGTAAAGTGTGACATCATACGCACTGTTGTGAAAAATTGAGAAAATGATTTAAAACTGTAAATTGCCATTTTCGTACATTTTCCGAGCTCTTTTTTCTGGGAATATTATGTTGTTGGCCTTGACTTTTCCTTTAATTTCGCCGTTAGTCGCCTTTATAGATTTGCTTTATGATTGGCCGACTCGCATATTCCCCCATGACTACGTGATAATGCCATTCGTTTCAAGGCTTTTTTGCATTGTCACATCAATTTTAAAAGGATTTGAGTCATGATAATTTTGGTTGAAGAGCATGTTATGTATTTAAATTCCAATTAGTCTCGTCACACCGATGACGTCATACATGACCCACCCCACAATCCCAAAATTCCTAATAGTTCGATCCGATTCAGTGACACCGTCTTAACAATAAATACCAAGGCTGTCACAGCTCCGTTATTGGAATACATTACCGCTCTTACGTGAACAGGTATTTCAAACAAAATTAGGCGATGCTTTTTTGAGCGGTGGTCGTCTAGTCACGTGATACCAATATGAGATGTACTAACATGTATGTGAAATTCTCACTCCAGCCATGCATGCATGCATGCAATCAACCCAGGACATACGCATGAGGGCGCTGTGATTCCATAGTAACACGATATATCCCACAATGCCCCGCAAAAGGTGTTAATGACCAAAATAATAGAATTGGTTATACGACCATACCTCGCACTCTGGAACGTACAACTATGGGTGTATATTATTCTATGACGAATGAAAACTAGATAGACTGTCACCTATACTAGTATATCTGCACTCAACCAATGTAGCACGGTTGTGTGAGATTTGTATTGATAAACAGTCATTTTCCCACTGCTCGATTCGTTATCCCTGTGTCAAGCCTGAGTGCGAGTTTTGATCTAGTGTTGATTTGCATTGAATACCGCCTTTGCATCATTAAAGTCTCGATTAATGTTCCTCGATGCGTTCACAATCGCACACATTTGTGAGCTCGCTGATCTGGACAACAATCAGATTCGCAATCTTTGTTAATGGACCCATATCTCGTCCATGCGCGGCACGACGACCACGACGCTTGGACGTACATTTTAAATTTCATTTACGCTATTGTTTCTTGGTTATTGTATCACTCAAGTTGTGTCTTCTTGGATTAATCCCAACTTATCGGACCCCGATTTTTTTTTTTCAGCTGCTACCAGCACAATGGAGGAAGACCTGCCTGGTTACCTGATTGCCACTTACATCATCTTAAGCGTGGTCCTCATACTGCTGGTTGTCGGAATCATTTATTGCCTTGTTAAACGAAACAGAAAATTAAAATGGCTTGGACATCAATCCCTAGATGACGAATCTATTACTGAAAGTCTGAAGAAAGCCTCGCCAAGAAGGAAAACGCCAAGCTTTCGAATCTCTTCGAAATCCGGGTAAGTAATTTAAAACAATTCTCAGTTAATCATGGGGATTAGAATAATGTTTTTTTTTGTTTTTTTTTACCAGAATACGTCATCAATTCCTTCCTGGTTTATCCTTCAGGGTTCATCCTAGTCGTTAGCGCAAATTTGCATATGACGCGTCATATTCGAACCACTGGCGGATTCAGAAATTCGGTAAGGGGTGCACGCATTCTCCTTCCCAGAGTTCCTTGCGGTTAGATCACCGAAAGTATCTCTGCCACCACACACCGCCATTTTGTGGTGAAACACCACAAGACTTTTACTACGCCAATTATTTGCGTATTTTTGTTATGAGAGGGATCTTGTGTTGATTTATTCCTACTGATAAACTAGTTTTAAAAGATTTCATCGATAGCTGATAATGATTTTT